CATAGGACTTGTAGTTTTGCCGGAAATCGAGATAAACCATTTTTTACCCTTAAAACCCCCCCCTCTCACTTCCCGAACTCAGATCGCCCGTAATTTATTTTTCCTTTAATTTTTATTATATTCCCCTCCTTTTCCAATGGGTTTCATCCTACTGTTATTTTTTTTCTCTTTTTACCATTTTTAAAGGCTTCTGCACTGGTCTATATTTTTATTTAGAGTTTTATTTTTATTTTAAGTTATTTTTATTTGAGAAATCTTTTTTATTAAGAATACTATTTTTGTTGTTGCCCTAGTTCTCAAGGAAAAAAATCAAAACATTTTATTTTTAGGATTCGGGTATAAAATATTTAAAAAGAAAATTAAAATGTGCATCTCCACTCCAACGCAGTTTGCTTAACACTAAATCATTTAGTCTAAATGCAGCCAGAGACTCTGGCCCAGAGTTGACCTCGCTTACAATTCGCACGCATCCGGGGCTCTGGCCAATCAAATTCTATTTGGCGTTCTATCCTTGTTCTTTTCACGCGGGTATTGAACAGCCGTCCTTTCCAGTGCGGTCGGACTTGCATTTGCAAGCACTGTATATAGATATAGGTCTATACTATTAAAATTACAAATTTTATGAGGTGGGTATTTATTTTTCTATTATAGAGATACCTACTAGGTAGCAATATTACAGTTAATTCAGCACATAACCAAACCGAAATTCTTATTATTTGCACAAGTTTTGGAGGTCCTGATGAACCCGCATTAATAGAAGTTCTAAGGAGATTTATGTGGAAAAGGGCATCGCAAAAATTGTTTTAAAAGAAAATCCGCTTATAGTAATTATAATTACTTCAATAACGATGCGCGCACATAAAGATTCAGGAACTTTTTATAAAAACAAAAGAAGGGCGCGTGAGGCGGAAAATGAGTACTAGCAGCAACCTTCTCCAAATTCTTGCAAAAAAACCATCATGGGCAGGTATAATAATTATACTATAATTAAACAATATTGCATATGGGGCAAAATTTGTACCAGGTGAAAAAAATTTTGTCACCGATTTTGTTTAAACTTTACTTATTTGTTGTTCTTATAACGAAGAATCATAGCATACATTTTTTTTGCTCTAGGATTGTTAATTCAAGAGTTATGGATTATTGAAATTTATCGATTTTTTACTTTTTTGTGAAATCGCTTTTTATTTAAAAATTCATAACTTCTGTTCATCTCTTTATTAAATATTTCAATTTAACCACCTTAAATGATTTTTTCCGTACTTTTCAATGGGCTATACCGTTTTTGCAACAAAAAAAAATTGCGTTTTTTTTTTGTAATTTTGCAAGATTTTGCATTTTTTGAAACAATGCGTATTTTTTATTTTTTTTTAAAATAGCATAAAATCGAAGTTTATTATGTAACCTTTGAATAAAAAAAAATTTAGAGTGGGCCCGACATGTAGAAGGGAAGTTTTTCATATTTGAATGCGTGCGGGTCTAGCCATCGAATAGCTACTACACTGCCGTATGAGTTTATACCTAGTAGATGCGAGTAAACGTATACAAAATGATAATTTAAAATGTAAAATTATGTTTGAGTAGTCAATGATGTATTTTAAATATTTACACTGCCGCACGATATAGTTTTTTAACTGTATTTTTTGCACAAATTGTTTAAACATGTCGTCACCTGAGAATTATAGTGTTCTATATAATACGAACAGGGGCGTACTGACAAGATATCCTTCAGACAGAACGACAACAACCGGTCAATCGCAATTGTTACAGACTAGGCAGGACAGGAACTTACAATCACTACGATAGTATAGTACATATCTGGCCAACATTGACACAAGCTTAACAGAGGCAGGAAAAATAACCAACATAAGAGCCTGTGGCAACGGGGAATACACGCAAACACAATCGACCGGTAACAGGGCGAAAAGTTTAGACAGTATTTTCTTAATGTTCTTACATTAAGAAAAGATTCTTGAAGTAAATCAACGTGAATTAAGAAAATACTTTACTATTTTAAAGAATATATTCTCTTCGTTATATATGAGACAAAGATTGTTTTGAATCAAGAATATTTTTTTTCAGTGTATCATAAAAGGCATCTGCTATTATTTGTCGAAGTTCAAAAAATAAAATAACCTAATTTTTGCACCAAAGCTAAGGAACTAACTGTACAAAAGATTAATGAAAATATGTAAGTAACAGTAAAGATAGCTTTATTTTATACACAGTTGATGTAGGGCTAGCAATGTGTGATTGTCCTTGCGGTGTAGGTGGAAAATTTTGTAAACACTTATGCGCCGTTCAGCAGAAGTATGGTGTCATTGTAAAAAGTACACCGCTGCTCACGATTAGCGATAAAAAGGATCTCGGTAAACTGGCCTTAGGAAAAGAAGCCCCGGTGCATTTTTTTGAAGCCATGGATTTAGAGCAAAACGAATTTGAAGGAAAACCAACAGATGATAAAGGCACTGTTGAAAGGAAACGCACATTCCATAATACTGCAGAAAAGAATAATTCTTTAAACCAACAAAACAGTGACGAAAGAAATAGAAAATCTGTAGAACAGTTAGAAAATCATTTTAAAAGAATAATCGAAATGTCCCTAATTAATAAGTCTGTAAACTTAACAAATACAATTGGAAAATTAAATAGTACACCGGAGAGAGTGCACAATTAACAACATTTTTAGCCTGTATAAAAAAGCCTAGGGTTTCACAGCAAATTATAGTGCAACCTACTTCAATAGGCAGAAGAAAAATAGGCCTGGGCTCACTTCAGGAGCAAAACGTATTCAAGCAGGACGACCATCAAATATAGAAAAAAAAATAATAAAAATTCAAAGAAAAAGCGAAATTTCGGAGAAAATGTTTCCAAAAACCAGGGCAACGCAAAATCTCACTGACACTACCTATTTTTTAAAGTACCCTTCCTTTTTTAAATTTTCGGTATACCTACTGAAGGGTAGGTACTATGCTCTACACCCAAACGTACCACTACGTGACTTTGATACAAATAATAATTGTTAATTTTCTGTCAGTATCAACTTCAAGCTAATTTCGTCTTATTTTCTAAAAATAAACAAAAAATACATGTATATATGCATATATGCATGTATATATGCATATATAGCATTATTTAAAAAAAATGGGGCGAAATTAGCTTGACACAGAAAGTAGTGTAATTATTTGATCAAAGTCACGCAGTGGGACTTTTAGGTGTGAACCCAGAAAAAATAGTTTTTATCGGGGGTTTTATAATAATTTTGTTACAAGTTTTAAAAACGAGTAATAATTTTATTAATATTAGTATTTTAAATGCATTCCAATTAAAAATTATAAACCGTGTTTTAATTAATATAGGTAATTAATAGTGGTGTATTAACTTACTACAATTCAAATGTTTGTATAATTTTCTGAACCGCAGTAAAGTATGACTTGCTTGCAAGTTGCTAGGCGTATATGCGCCAACATTCTTTACTATGTTTGAGAACGCTACAAATTGACAGATATGCTGAAACGTAGTAAGCAATGTATTGTACGTTAAGGGATTCCATACATTTGTGCTGGGTCAAAAAAATCGATTTTTTTGTATTGAATATTCTTACAATATATACTTTTAAGAATATGTACTTAAAATTTCATTAAGATCACTAGAGCACTAGAACTTATGTTATAGCAATTTATAGCGCGCTACCTCACAAACATTTAAAGGCAAATTTAATTAACTTAAAACTTCCAACGCCTTTATCTCGAAATAGTATTTTTTGAAAACTGCCGTTGCCGTGAGCTTGATTTCTCGAAAACCAATTTACCGATCGATCTGAAATTTGGAAGTGTTGTTCCTAATTACAATAGCTCCTTCGTGAAAGAAAATTTCTATTTTTTTCGGCCGGAAAACTAATTTTTTGCAGCCTCGAAAATCGATTATTTTGGGTTAATCACCGCCATTTGCGTGAACATTTTTTTTACAAAACCCTTCGTTCACGAAGGGGGTGATACTTTGTTCTAATATGGATTTTTTTTCATTTTGATCTGTTTGGCGGTTTTCGATATTTTATGCTCACCGCAAACGCTTGAATAAAAAGACGTTTCGGGGCAAGTCTGTATTTTCCACAATTTTCCATATTTTCGAATAATTTTTTTTTACAAATACTTCGAAACATACCCTATTCGATGCTTTATACCAAAAAAAAAATCACCAAAAAACGTTAATTTTTACGAGCTCATATGTATGTATATTTTGATTCAATCCTTACTGCGTTACCCGGCGCCTGCATTTAACTTTTTATTTGTTTTTTTTTAAACGAATGCTTGCTAGAAGCATTCATTTCTTCAATTTACTGTAAAGTGCTTTGAATACAGTCAATATTTTCTCATTTGCAGTGTAGGAAATTCATATAAGAATGGACTGCTAAAATCTCAGCCCTTAAGGGAACGCGGTTTGGTGTGGGCGAGCACGCGTTGATGAATCAGTCAAGGAATCATTCAAATCCCTGCAAGAAGTCCCTAACTAATATGTTATAATTAAAATTTAATATATATCTGCATTAGCAGTTTAGTGATTTTTAATGATACAAAAACGACCATAACTAATGTTTTCTAATGTTTTAGGGATCAACTGGTTTTTAATTTAAAAAATTAAAATTTTAAATATTAAAGATATGGAAAATTTGCATAGTAAGCTACAATTATAATTAACTATAACTATAGTTAAAATGTTCTCAAAATGTCAGTTAGTCACTTACAATGGTCTTGGGAACTAAACATGGCTTTCGATTGGCTTTATACTACATATGGCTTTATACTACATATGTATGTATACATGAAGTTCATATGTATACATATGAACTTCATGTATACATACATATATGTAGTATAAAGCCAATCGAAAGCCATGTTTAGTTAAATATATTTAACTACTATGACGTATGACTTTTAAATGTTTGGGAGATCCGGTACTGGGTAAATCAAACAAAAAATTATTTAAAATTAATTTATTGACATTTTAAGCTTTAAATACTCTAAAATACGACATTTTAATAAATAGACATTGACTATTTTAAATTGACTAGTGCGCATATTAAAAATTGGTAATAATAAAAATTGTATATGTAATTATGTAAATGGTAAACATTTTAAATAAAACAGTCTTTCATACTAAATTTGTTGTTCATAATATTGCTTAAAAACTTAAATCACATTTTTTATTCCTAAATCATAAATAAAATATAGAATAACAATACCAGGCCAGCTAACGTCACCGGTTTGACACTACTCGAAGTATTTCGTGGTTTTTTAAGCCCTAATTGGTTAGGTTCATCGACTTCATTGTTAAGTTGGTTCCCTGCTGCGGGATACCATGTCTCGGAACTAGTTTGTACCATGGTACTTCTAAAAGTGCCATCGTTCTGAGGTAAATCTCTTGGGTCGGGTTTTTGACCCATAACGTTCCACGTGGATACGGTAGCCCAATCTGGGCGCGATGTGGGTGTTGATGGTACCTCAGGGTACATTTGTACGGTGTTGCCACTCAATGGTACCCTCGAAGATTCGCTCCAACTACTAGAACGCCCATATGAAGAAGGCCGGGTTCTTTTTCCTAACATATTATCAGTAGTTTTGATATCTTGGGTGTTAGTACTTTGATCCATGGTGCTTGGTAGCCATGTGTGGGTAGATGAAGGTACAGGTGGTACCCTTGAGGGTGCCACTTCTTTGCCTTGAATATCATTAACGGTACTCCAAGGGTAAACCTCACTGGGTGATGTGGATATGGATAAAGGGTCAGCATATAGCACTGAGTCAGTGTTAACGGCACAATCTCCTGAGTTAGGTCTTAAATATTTAAATATTATAGGATGTATTTTTATAAACTTATTTTACTTACATGTAGTTGGAACATTGTTCCTGCAAAAAGCTCAACGCTTTGTCTATGGTCTGTCCAGCAAATTTTGACGCAGGCCCATCTAACATACCCCTATCGCAATGTCTTCTGGTCTCTCTTTGAACACACTGTTTAAAACGATCTTGAGAACTAAAAGTCGAGAAAAAATTAAAGTATTACAATTAAGTAAAAATCATTTGTTTATAAGGGCATTTTTTTATTTTAAAAAATGGCTACCCCTGCAATGTAATCATTGTCATTATTCGGGTGCTTTTTAAAAATAGCTGGAAAATCTCAAAATGTATGTATATTTTATATTCAGTCTTTCCTGTCACTTGGCAAAATTTATTTTTACGTTAATTAAAAGTTTTGTTGTGTTTAAATAGTCAATTGATACACTTTCAGAAATGTTTTTCTCACTAAAAGTTATTTTGGTATTGTTTCGCCAATATAAGCGACAAATCAATTTTAATCTAGTTTAAAAAATATAAAGTTCAAAATAATCTTCAACTTGAAGACTTCAAGAGGTTCTGCAGGCCACTAAGCCAACAAAAAAGTCTGCCCAAAAAGGCTGAAATCTAAAAATTAAAAAAATGCATAAAATCTAAAACATACCAACAAAGGGTGGATTTCGATATAACATCCCCTTGAGAGACTTGCTCAACCAATAAATTATAATGTGGTCCACAATTTATGTTTTGTATTATTGTATTTTTTATGCAGGTTGCATATTGAAGGTACTCTAAAAAAGAATATTAAAAATATATTTAAAAAGAAATATTGTTTTTTTACCTTTTTGATAACTAGGCTGCATGCACATTTGGTGTACACTCTCAATAGGGCTTTCAACTGCTCTATTAAATTGTTTTCTTTGCAAATCAGTGAAGCAATTTTCTGTATAGAATTTTAAACAGTCCACAAAACTAAAAAGTTTAGAACATATGTGAATTTTGACAAATAAATAAGAGTAATTCCAAATGAAATCATATTTAGACATAATTAGTAAGTACCAGTACACAAAACAAAGCCTTTGAAAACTTTTCAGCACTATATTAAGTTTATGAAAAATCTAACATCGGCTGGCTTTGCCGATTCGATGATTTCATATGGAATAATGACCCATCTTAATTTTAAACATTACCTGTTCCAAGTTTTGCAAACCAAGTCTATATCGTTCATATTATCTGGAAATACCAAACGGGCTTCTTTTACCAATGGGTCGGCAATCCTTATGCATCTTTCGTACTCACTTCTTGAACAATCCAGCCTAGCCAGTGATATTAAAGGGAAGAGAAAAATTGGTATAAAAAATAACAGCATTTCTGTAACAAAGAAAAATATTTTGGCAACTTATATCTCCCTGCATAATTTAGGCCACCTAGCTGTCCAGATCTAACCCTCCGATAGCAATTCAGCTTGATTTAATTTCAAAGGAACTCGACAATAAAACAAATGAATTGCTTTATACCTAATCTAGCAATCTGACATGCTTTACCGCAATATAATAAACTTAGTAGTATAAAGTTTCAAATATCGAACAGCTATGCAGGGTTTCGCGTTCACCTACTTGACTTACTGCTCTTATTATCGCATGGGTGTCTTTAATTTTAACTACATGTTTGTTTATGTTTTTCGTATTGATGTTTTGACCCATAAGTTTAGAAAAAATAGGGCTATTAACTTAATAGTATTAAGTTTAAAATTGTATTGTTCTTTACCAAATTGGATCTTAATTGTGAAAAGTAAAAATAAATAAAATTTCTTACAAATTAGTAAACAAAATCGTAGAACCATGTTTATAAGTGAGAAAGAATATATAATATTTATTTTCGATCTGGGTTAGTTGAGGGGTCAACCATTATGGTCATTATGGGCAACGTTGCGTGCCACAAGAGCGGAAGTGATAGGTCAGACAAATATTGCAAGGACTGCTGTGATTCGTAGCGTAAAGTCGAGGTATTTTGGTGTGCCACTCAGTCCATAATGATTTTTTGTATTGCCATTTTTAAATTGCATGTGTGGAAAATTCGTTTTTAATTGAGAGTATAACATATTTTTAGGTAAAAATGTACACATTTTTAGGCCAGGATCTACAAAATATTTAAGGAGGAACAAGGGTGCAAGTTGCCGCCCCTATTTTTTATAAATTAAAATGAGTAAATGGAGTAAAACAATTTATTTATTTTGCTTATAAAATTAGTATTAGTAGGTATAAGTATGGAACCTACGTACATCCTTACTCATGGAGGAACGTATATAATTATTAATTTTTTCTACTCTACTCTACTTTAATTTAGAGTATAACATATTTTTAGGTTTTAGGTAAAAATGTGCACATTTTTAGGCCCGGATCTACAAAATATTTAAGAAGGGGCAAGGGTGCAAGTTGCCGACCCTATTTTTTTTAAAGTAAAATGGGTAAATGGAGTAAAACAATTTATTTATTTTGCTTATAAAATTAGTATTAGTAGGTATAAGTATGGAACCTACGTACATCTTTACTCGTGGAAGAATTAACGTATATAATTATTAATTTTAATTATTAATTTTTCTACTCTCACTTTTAAAACGCCCATTATCGTACATGTTTCCATGACACTAAGTGATCTTTTAAGTACACATTGAAAGTCATGGGCTGAAGTTAGCAACAGGTTTTTAGTCACGGGTTGAAGTAGAGATTCCCAAGGGGGGACCCCTTGGTGAGATTTGGTGAAATGTGGTAGACCCCCCCTTCCCTCACGTGAGATTATAGCCATTGAACTCTCATTTCGGACAACTTGATAAACCCAAAAAAAAAATTGGTTACTTTTTTTTTGACAGATTTCCCTGCTTAAAATAGCCCATAGAGGCCCTGTTCAAACCCATAGATATTTGCTGGATCCATAGTTGGGATTTATGGTTGTTCTATAGGGATTACCACCCTTGATTTATTTGCTATTGGTTTCCATGGGGAAAATACACATAAATGTAGAAATTAGTTTTCCCCCATAGGACCCCATAGGTTTTAATAAAATTTTGTCAAATGTTTTATGGTTGTTCTATAGGGATATCCCTATATATCCTTCATTGAGTTGTTTGCTATCGGTCTCAATAGGGAAAATGTAAAAGTTATGGTGTATAGGTAATTTCTTATAAATTATCTATCGGGCCGTATCCGGAAAAAACCATGGACAAATGCACATATTGAATCCGGTAGCGCCCGATAGATTATTTTATATAGGTCTCTATGGGGTATTTTAAGCAGGGTTCTATTCTTTGAACCCAAAAGTTGACGTGAGATTTTAAATGACCCTCCTCCCTTAACATTGGATTTGGTGAGATTTTGCTAGACCTCCCCTCTATTTTTATCTCACGTAGTTAAAAATTGTTACGCGAGCTACTCTATTTTTTTATAGATGTCGCTCTATACAAATATTTAATTTAAATCATTTTTAGATAATTTTTTCCAACTGGTTTATAAACTATAAACATGATTTTTATATTAAAATCTTTAAATATCATTCAGACAAATGTTTCTAAATTTTCAAGGAAAATTGTATTTTTTTCAATTTGAAAGAAATACAAAAGTACAAAAAATAAATATTCGTAGACATAAGTGATTTAAAAAATATATATTTTGTATCCCCCAAAATATTTCTGTGGATCCGCCCCTGCTTGTTCTACATGAATGTTAAAATAAAAATTGAATCCAATTTTGAGCTCCTAATATTAATTTTACGAACTGGTACGGTACTGGTATAGTTTTTTCCTGCTAAGAGAATGTAGATCTTGCTTTTTCTTTTGAATAAAACTTATTATTATTAATATAACTTATTGGTTGAAAGTTTGATTTAATAGTATATATCAACTTTGATAAACACCATTTTAGACACGAATTTAATTTGGGCACAAGAGAGTTTGCGAGCGAGGGCTTAACTTAATGAGTGTCTAGTATTTGTCTTAGAAAAAGTATAGTATTCAATTCGTTTATAAACTTTTCTAGACACTCATTTAATTAAACACTGGCTCGCAAGCTCACTCGTGGCTAATTAAAATTCGTAACTAAAATGGCGTTTATACACTATTAGTTTACTAATTTAGAGCTGTTTTTAAATCTAAGAAGCTTTAAAAATTGGTCCTGAACACACAACCAGCTCCTGGAAAAAATTTGCGGAATTTAAATATTTAATGTATTTTAAGGCTAGATCAACAGCATGTTTGTGAGAGATTTAAAACTTCCGGATAGGCTAGTTGCCCAAAAATTTGAAGAAAAAAACAAATATTTTGGGAAAAAATACTATTTATAACCAGGGACCCGGACCCAAATGAAATAACGGTCCGGTCCGGTTCCGGTACCGAGAGAAACGACAAATTTCGGTTCAGGTTCAGTTACGGTTCCAAAAAAAATATTTCGGTCCGGTCCGGACCAATCTTTTCGGTCCATACGGTTTTTTTCGGTTCCAATTTTTTTACTAGGTGTAAATAAGTACTTAAATTATAAAATGAAAAGTTTATTAATTTTTTTTATTTTTTTTTGGCAAGTAATTAAATAAAGTATTACTTTGTCTCTTCTTATTTTTTAAATGAGGTTCTCTAATTTTAGGGTCTTCATTCTCTTTTTTATTTTTATTATCGATCGGCTGGCTTTCTTTATTTTTTTCTTCTGATCTTGTGATTGAGAAACTAGAAAATTTATAATTAAAATAATTTATATAAAAATAAAAAAAAACTAAACTAACCAAGTTTGAACATAGAGAATGGCTTAGAAAACCCCAAAGAAGCACATATAAAAGATGGTCGTTCATTTCTTACAATTACTTGTATGGACATTTTTCACATACTTCGATGCTGCCATCTGTAGGCAATTTCACTAACATGTTATTGACATGATGTTAGTCATAGTTGTTTTGCATTGTTGCCAAAATAATCAAAAATTATTTGGTTAAAAAAAAATTTTTTTTTAATTTTTGCAAAAAGAATTTAAGAAAAAAACCGAAAATAACCTAAAAAACCGTTTTAAATTTAAAGGGTTTCGGTTCGGTCTCTAGACTTGCATTTAAAAATAATATGGGTTCGGTTACGGTTCCGATCCACAAATATATATCGGTTTCGGTCCGGTTTTCTGTCCAAAAACGGTCCGGTCCGGGTCCCTGTTTATAACTGGGCATGTATAAAGTATTAAAGTTTAGTACTTTAAATATTATTTACAAATTATTTTGACAAAAAAATGCGTTTCACGACACTAACGAATTGCCGCCGCGGCAATGTAATTTACCATCGAATTATATCCGCATTTCGCTATATCTCCGAAAAAATCAATTTATTTGTGTATTTTATTATATTTTATTTAAACCAACTTAACGATACTGCAAAAATAATTTTGTAATTTTCATTAATATATTTAAAGGTTTCCTGTTTTGATTAAAAAAAAGTTTTTTCACAATTTTTCCAAAAATCTAATTTAAAAGATGTGTTTAATTTTTGACGCTTGTAGTTCCGCAGGGGAGCGTTTGCGGATATATTATGTTTATTATACCAAAATGCTTGTTTCTTCTTGTCGTACCACAACCTTAAATTCGTACCATTAGTTCAATAGCATCCTGTATATAGGGGAGAAAATTAAAAATAGCGACATTCAGAGGTTTGTTTTGACGCCCCCTAAACTGCCGACAGAGGCAAGGGTTTCCCCCCTAAATCCGGGCCTGACATTTTTAAAAACAGAATTTAGAACATCTAAGAAAATCATTTAATACAATTTTTTATTTAGTTAAATTTTTTCAAAACCCATAATATTATGTTATGTTATTATTTTTCCTATCTAGGTGGGTTTCATAAAATTGTCAATAGCTATTTTGAAAATTTTAAATTACTACTTTATTAAACACAAGCTAAAGTAATTGAACGATTACCTTAACATAAATAATTGCTTAAATAATGAATAATTTAACGAAGTTGATATCAGAGTTTCGCTAATAAAATATTTATATCCCTTTCCATTAACCTATTATATAGGTAAGTTTTTGTGTCTATTTCGGGAATAAATAAAGGTTTTTGAACCTAATTTTCCTCAATTTTAATAACACCATCTAATATTTTTGATATTACAGAATACATGATAAACCATTTCTCTCTGGAGTTTTATAAGGGAAATACTATAAACCATCTGGCAACAGTGCAAACATTAAAATCCAATTTAAATATAATGTTATAGTTAAATTACGTAGCCAAGGCCCCCCTCTGGAGATTCGAAAAAATGTAATCCAATGCCAGGTCGCTTATTCTCCCCAAATTGGAAGGAAAAATCTAAAAAAAAAAGGTCGACAAGTAGGTCTCGTAAACGGAA